TTGCCTCAGACACAGAAAAACAACAAAAAGAAAAAAAAAAAAAGGCTTTCTTTATTTTGCTAGATTCTAATGTAAGTGCCTGATATTAAGTCATAGTCTTTTAATACTGAGGAAGCAGATGGGGGAAGGAGTTCTGTGTAGGTCATTTACTTTCAAATTCTACGGATAAGAATTTTTCTGCATGATGGAGGTACTGACACCTGCATGGGTTGTGACTAATAGATTTGCAACACCTGAGCTAAGGCTGTAATTGCAGAATATCATATTCCTCTATGTGGTACACACCAGCTAAGCTGGAAGAGGGGGAAAGTAGCCAAAGATTTCACAGATCATTACAGACAACAAAGAAACAGTGAGATTTGGCTACTAATGAAGATTTCTCTATTATGGAAAGTCTCCCCAGCCTTGTTTTCAATTAATCCCTTCTGCCCTTGCCCTCCCAGTTGGTCTTTATTCCAGGACTGTTTCTGACACAGAGGCAAGAAGGATTCTTCAGGGAATTAAGATGCAAGCAGCATATGCCAAAGGCATTTGTTAGTTCCTAACTTCGCCAAATTTGGACAGATTTTTCAAAGGAATAGCAAGAGGCATACACCTTTCCCTAAGGGCATGCCTCGGCCAAGAATTAAGTCTGTGCTTCAAAGTACGGAATCACAAAAGACTTAATAAAAAGTTGGTTACCAGGGAACTTCAACAGGGATAAAGGTAAACCCATTTTCCCTGCCTAACTCTCAGGAAAAGCTGAATCATCTTGGCTGAAATTCAGCTTGCCAAAAAGCAACTGATCAATTTATCTCAGGTCATGCAGAAGCACAGCCACTGGTATGGGATACAGAAGTGTTTACAGTTTGGCAAAACTATACACAGCTGAAAACAGAATATTACAGAATATCGCAAAAGCACTGTGCAACCTCACCTACAGGGAGTGGTATTTGCCTCAACTTAAAAAGTTGCAGATCTTGAAAAGTTAAGGGCCTTGGGAAAAGGCTGAAAGGAGCAGATCCTTTCCTACAACTTGAGACAATAAATCTTGGCACAGAGCCAATACAAGAGCAATGTAGACCTGGTCCTGCAGGGACATCCAGTAGCTTATTTCTTTGCTCTGTCCCAAGAGAGCCCAGAGCTCTAGACATGTACATCCACTCACATTTGGTTGCCCGAGATGTGGTAGTCATTGGCTAACATGCATTCCTAAACTCTCACAAGCAAGGGGACAGCAAGAGGAAGAAAGGACAGCAAGGCATTTCAACAAACCTCCCCTTCCAAGCAAGCATCTCCCCCTGCTCAGCATTTCAGCTTCATTCAATTCTCCCTCACCCAGTCTCCCCCACTTTCTCCCCATATCCACACCCCACACACACAGCTTCCCACAAAGCACTTGCTCTCAGGTCTGCATGCAGGTCAGATGTTTCGGACAACATTGATGCCAGCAGCACACCAACATGATGCAACAAACCCCATGACATCCTCCGTCAGCAGCTCTCAATCAGGAGCACATGTGCCAAGGGAAAAGAAAAGGAAAAAAGGAAGAAAAGGGACTAAAGAAGGTGTAGTATGCCAACCCCTGCAGCTCTTCAGTTTGACTGGATATGCTTGCAGTGTCCTTCCTCAGAGGTCCCCAGAAACCACTTCAACACAGTAGGCTGTGTGAAGGATTCCGCAAAATTGCCAACGCTGTGCTACAGATCAAAGAAAGCAATGGTTGAAGGGTGAAGGTGAGGAAGTCCTGCTCTGAACGGGAGTCACCTAGGAACAGCAGGAAATTACAGAAAAAGTCCTTCAATGCTAGAGTTGGGGGAAAAAAAAATACATGTTACCTTCCTTAGAGTTGAAAGCACTTTGGAGAAGATGGGGGACACAGTGATCTAACAGCTAGACTGACGGCACTCCTCAAATTCCCAGACTACACTGGGAATATATTGGGACTACTGGCTATCAGCGGGCCTACCAACACAAGGGTAGACTTTTCCTTCTAGGGACCTGAAGATGCCATTTATCCCAGAGAAAGAGGAGCTCAAGTTTATTTTCTAAAGGCCATGAAACAGCTTTTTAGTGCCTTATTTCTGGTGCCTGGCAGTGACTTAATTTGGAGATACACTGGTAAAAGGCTCCCCACGGGAGGCAGCCCAGTTTCTTCCCCTCATCCTACCAGGGCTGAGAGGGCCCCACACTAAAGCCCTCACTAAGTCACTACTATTTACAGCTTGTTTGATGTGTTGGCTGATCCCCCCAGGAAAATGCCAGTACTAATTTTGGCTGAGCCTTTTCCAGTCCCCCGAGCGGCACCTTAATTCCTGCACTTGTTGCTTTACACGCATTTAGCCAGTGCGACCAGCGTCAAATGAGCGTGTCACCAGGATCCTGTGGCCTTCACAGGTCCCTGGGGAGCACACACTGCCCACGCAGAGCAAAGTCCTGTCACCAAACTGATTACTTGGCTCCAGGAAACATAGGGGAAAAAAACAAGAGCATGGGGACTGTCCTCACTGACCAAATATTAGTACCACAGCAAAAGCAAGGCAAACCAACAAGGTCATTGCTTTTTTTTTTTTTTCCCCCCTTCCCATGATCAATTGGGAAGTCATGCCAAATCCAGGAATATCAGGCAGGGAAGGGAAAGGGGTGTCACCTTTCTGCTATGAATAGAGAGCTGGGAACAGGGTCTAACGCAGTTACTGCAGTTGAAAGAAAACCCAAAATCGCCCAACTTCTTTTAATGATGCTGAGCTCGTAGACCCCTCATGGGGCTGCCTCATCTGTTCTGGAAGTTCAGAGTAACAACTGCAGATGGGGATTCTGTGTGCCTGTAAAAATCCTGCATTAGAGGATGAAACCTGCTTTCCAACATGGTAAAAACAGACCAGTCACCTCCTGACAAGTTCTCAAGTTAAAAAAAAAAAAAAAAGGTGGCATCTCAGTCGAGGCTCAAATGGGGCTTTTTAGCCAAAAGTAATTTATTTTTTAGCACCAAAGCAGTCAAGCAGTCTAAGTATTGGAGAATTTAAAAAAAAAATACATCTTGGCAAAAAAAAAAAAAAAAAAAAAAAAAAAAAAAGAGGGGGGGGGGGGGAGGGTCAGGAAGGGAATCACCTACATACCTAGATGGACAGTGCCATGTATGTATATTCTTGTTGCAGATCAAAGAGTGACCAAGCCTCACAACCTCCTTCCTTGCGCCATGGGCTGCACATTTCTCTGTGATCCCAGCAGCTGCTCTGACAGCAGGAACTCCCAGCATAGCACAGGTCAGACACCTTAACTGCTGGGCCAGCTGTACTTCATCAGGACAGAGTGGGAGGACGCTGCAGCTAGAGGTCATTGAGATGAGGTTTACTCACTCTCCCTCTGCTGTAGCATCCTTCCAGGCTAGCATCTGTCCATTCTTAGTGACTGGAAATATTAGACCTCCTGCTTAGTGCAGCTATGACAGTGGTCCAACCAAGGACCAGAGACAGACATCCAGAGAAGTACTCCTGTGAATCCTCCTTTTTCTACAGAAGAAGACCTCAGAACAGTAAAAACACAAGACATTCCTTCACTACGTTTCATTTGAGGATATAAAATCAAGATTTTTCCCATCAGCTTCCCTGTGAAATTACCATTTTCTACCCTACAACCTCTCACTTTACAGAGGATGCACAGCACAGACAAAGAGAAGGGTTGTGTGACTTGCCCAGTCAGAGGGAAACCAGGATCAGAAAAATAAGGTTCCCAATCCACCACCACTTGCTTTTATTGCTGGCAGGAGACAATCTTGAGAATTGTATTTTTTTTTTCCTTCTTCTTATAAGGACCCCATGGAGGGAGTACCAACACAAAGACTAAGAACAACAAAAATTAGGGGAAGTTTCCCTGCTCTTATGCAGAAATTCCCAGTTTGCTCCAGAGCATGTTCTTGTCAGAGTCTTTGACCTTGGCTATGGTAACTCTAGCCACTGTAGCAATCCAGTTATCCAATGTCATCACAGTCTTGAAAGGCAAGCTGTTCGTGTTAGTCTTTATACAAGACAACTGGCTTCCTTTTCCTACAGCCTTGCACCAAATTTTAAATGGATGGAGTAAGATAGTGATGATCCTCAAGAACAGAGCAAGTAAGGAGCAAAGCTGGAAGTGTCCTTCTCCCACCTCACCATCCTCCCAACTGCAGCAAGTAGGTAGGACAGGACTTCTGAGCGTGAAAGACCTACCTAGCGGTCCTCCCTTGCCAGGCAGGGAATGAAAATGCAGCATTTCAGACCTGTTCAAACGGGCAAGCCCCACTAGGTAAAACTAGAATTTGTTAATTACCAAGATTGCCCATATTTCCCACGGAAAACCCAGCACCGCTTTTTCAGTCACACAAAAACAACAGAATAGACAAGTGCCTGAGCTTTCACGCTGCCTTCTTCGATAGGAAAAGAAGCAAGGATTCAAACCAGGCACACAAGCAGTTAATGGGATTATCCAGACACAGAGATATCTCAGCAGGACCCAGCAGGCCATGAACACATTTTATCATGCAAAGGACCCCTCTCCCATCACAGGGTTAACACGTGCCAGGCTGTTAGAGTCCAGCAACAGCCTCTCCAGTTTTAGGAACTAAATCAAACACATATTGAAATGCTGCTCTCCGTACCGGTACCTGCTCATCTTTTTCCTCAGCCTGGCGAACAATTTAGTTTTCTTTCTGTTGAGGATGGCACGCAAATTATTTCTGTTATAGGATCGCAAAGTCAGACCACACACACACAGACACACACACAAATACATACACATTCAGAAACAGGTACACACTTCCCCTGGTTCCTAGAAAGCTATGACCTGGTTTGGAGAGGATAGCAGAGGGCTTTTTGTGCCTGTCAAAGACCTGCATATATGTAAGCAAACTAGGGTTTTCCCTCCTCTTTGGAATATGGGGCCAGGCTGCACATGGATAAGAAGAAAAAGGAAACTGTATAGACCAGCAGAGAACTGTAAATGTCCTTTTTTTCCACAGATAATTGCAGGTCCTCACTTTCCCCTGTAAATACTGGTACAGAAGAAACAACCCCCCATTCTCCTTTAGTTACGCGATCTGTGCACAGATGTGCATGTGGACCCTGATCAGCACCTTTCCTACTACATCTTCTTCCAGTTTGTCCAACCATACTAGGATAATGCTACAGATCTCCTAGGTCTTCTAGGCATTTGAGCCCTGAATGTGCAAACACTTTGAGAAACAAATCCCAAACATATGTCTGACATTCCCATAAATACTTCAGCTGCTCTGTACTACACGGCCAGCATCAGATTCATCAGCCACAGTAAAATTTCTATAGGGCCTCGCATGAATGCCATAATGACGTACACATGTAATTGCCTCTCTTCTCACACCTCCTCCTTCATTTCCTGCCATTGTATCCATCTCCAATCCCCTTCCCAGTAGAGAAGGCTTAGGGAAGCATCTGTTCCTACTGCAGACCACAACAAGCAATGACATTTCCTCCTGTACACTCTCCCTCCAGCCCTGCGCCACAAGAAGAGACCAGATGTGGAGGAGACACAGAAATGCCTCACAGCATTTCCTGGTCCCTGCAAAACATATTTACTACCCTGGCAAACCTTTGCTACAACCTCCTACAACACCCTGCTCCACTGTGCTCAGGGGGAAGAGAGTTTCCCTGGGGTAGCTGTGGCATCTCAGCCAAGACGCAGGGAGTAAGCGATGAAGCAGCAGCGCTCAGAGTGCTACCTGCACAGGAACCTCTGTGGGTGCACTCGTTTTTGGCTTTTGGGGCCATGTGGTCTCATAGCCAGCTCAAGAGCACAGAACCGCAGCTGAGACACCCATTAGAGACCCAGATGAAGCTAGCAGTTTGTGGGGGCAGGAAGCATGAGGACTGGTATTTTATTCATTGGAAGCTCTTTCAGGCCAGAAACTTTATGCCACAACAGCAAACATGTCCGGGCCAAGCTGTCACTACAGCCTACAACCACTTCCTTGAGGAAGAAAGGAAGGACGAGGGAGGAGGTGGACAAAGCAATGGCTACAGCCTTCATCTATCTTGTTACTTCATCCTCTTCCAAGAGCCCTGGAGGGTGCTGCTGTCAGAGACAACATGGCTTACGGCAGCAAGAGAATGGGCACCACGGCCCCCTCCCAAGGCTTCAGTCTGGTTGTGCTGTAATGATCAACAGACACCACATGCTAACTTGGGAAGAAGATATTATTTTCACAAGAAGCATTTATATTAGCATCTTGGAAATTTGGTGCTAGCAATCAAAAATACAGGAGCCAAATTTTACTCAAATGTCCTCTTTCTTCAGAGCTGGCAAACACCACACACATCGCTGGCACAAGACACCAAGTCGTCTATGCATGACTGCAACAGGAGGTTAAACTGCGAGGAGAGACAAGGGAGCATAGAGGTCTCAACAGCTGATCTAGCCCTTACAAATCAATGCACTCAGATCACAACTTGCCCTTACTTCATGCTGACTTCACCTCCTCCCTCCATCAATACACCAATTGAGGACTTGGGCTCTGCTCCTGCTCACCCAGCATATGGGATTAGCAGCAGCTGGAAGCCAGAGTCCAACACTGTTTCATCACTCACGCATTTGGATGGGAGCCAGACACAGCCTCATCCAGAGCACAACCTCTCCCTCCCCTCTCAGTGCTAGAGAATGTGCAGACTTGCACTTAACCAAACAGGACCAGACCCAGCTGAGGAAAGAAAACGAAAGGCTTGGAGGATACTCACTCCTCACATACGTGAAGATTGGCAGTGCTCTGAGATCAGAAGGCCTCATATTAGGAGGAAACACAACCCAGCTGGGTACATGGTGGGGGCATAAGGCTTTGGCAAACAGGAGGTTCCAAGTTTGGAGAGCCAAAGAGGAGGTTGGGAAAAAAAATGGGATCTTGGTGCTCAAGCTCACAAACCGCAGGTACATGGTGGAAGCTTTTGAGGGAAAGAACAGAATGCGTGCTAGGAAACTGGGCCCTGAAGGAAGGGCAGCTTGGTGTCACATGTCAGTGCATGGAATTTGACTTCAAAAAAGCAGAGCTGAGAGTCAGTTTCTTAAGTATCAGCACCTAGTGAAAGTTTAGGCTTCCAGATGCTACGCTAGAAAGATGAGAGGTATTGCATTGTGTCTCGCAACCCCAAGTGCAATCTTGGACATGCTATAGGAAGTCTCAGGGGGGCACTTGTTGGATCTCCACAAGTAGTCTAATCACTCCCCAAGTGACAACATGGAGGTTTCAATACCCCTGGTAGAGAAATCCCTGTCTGTCCTCCCCTCCTGAGGGAAAGACATTACTCCCACAGTTACTGACCTGGGCTGTGCTTTAATGGGGAAGGCATTGCCTGAGTACTGCTTGTCTAGACCCAGCAGGACATCATGGAGGTTTTGGTTCAACTGCAAAATACAAAAAGAAAAGAAAGAAAAAGAATGAGAAAAAGAGCCCCAAGTGCCAGAGGAGAGTCTGGGCTGGCCCGCACAGGCTGACCAAACACTGGCTTGTGCCCAGACACGTGCACATACTCAGCTATCCCAAGAGAGGACAGCCCTAAATCTGCTTCCACTCCTCTATGCTAGAGTGCTAGAGCACTCAAACTGTTGAAGAGCTGCTGGAGCCTGATGGGAATGCTCTGTCTCCCTTACATACATTCTCCTTACTTCTCTGTTACCTGTCCCCACCAGTGTGCTGCCAGGTACCATTGCAGAAGCAGGCAGTGTCTACCTGAGGGTCTGTGTGCTGGAGCTGAAGCTTCTCTCTGGATTTGTAGCCAAAGCTGTTCCTCAGATCTGCTTATAAAGCTTGGGATATGGCCATTTGAATTGTGTAGCTAAAGGCAGGTGGACTTCCAGTCAACAGCAAGCATTGCCTTCACTGTCTGCCTGGACCATCTAGGTTTGGGCAGAACCTGGATATCTTTGCAGAAATGCAGTATTAGGGGTTAAACTCTCCCTGGCACTGAAGGCTGCAATATTCACACCAGACACTCCTATCCGGAAACAGCCAATTCACAAACAAGATGAGATGCCAGATTTAGCATTGGTAGGAGGAGGGATCCAATGCAATCAATGTTGGAGGCATCATGCCAGCAACACCAGCAGTTAATTGGATGCTATAGCAGTAATAAGAAACAGATGGTTCTTACAGAACGAAGCAAAAAGCCCTGCTCTCATACAGAACTCCTCAGCAAAGAAAAATCCAAGATATGATACAAGAGGAGAATTCCTGTCTAACAAGCATCTGTCCCATGTTTTCGTGAATTTAAGTTAACAGCAACAAACTGATAATTATAAGAATCCTCCCTATTCTTAATGATCAGTTTATCCCTCAGGGGAGAAGAGTAGGCTATTAACTAGAAAGGTCCCCATGAAATGTCAGCCAGGCTCAAAATTGATGCATTACACCAAGGCAGAGGGCCCCTAACTGCTGGGAATTTAAGGACTATAATGTTGCTTGTTGCTTAGCGGCTGTCTTGTTGTCAGGATGACATCGACGAGGGGAGGGAATACAAGAGTATTCCAGCTGGGCTCTCAGTCGCACATCAAGATTGGTACAACATCTACAGAGAATGTGCAACTCTTAGGAGCAGTGTACAGACCTAAGGAATTCAAGACTTCTCTAGCTTTTAAGTGAATGAACAACAGAACACACTTGTAAATGAAAGTGGCAATGGGGGGCGTTCCCACAGACCGTTCCTGAGGTCTCTGCCGGGCACTGGTACACAGCACCAAGACCCAGCCTGCCACCACCAGATTACAATACCATTTAGTGCCATGACTCCCATCTTGGGGCCAACTGGTGGCTCATGCAAGAGCCACCCTAAGGACTCAAATGCCTTCTTTGGGTCACAGGGCAGGAAAGAAGCCAAAGCCCAGAGGCACTGCTGGGAAGTGCCTTCTTGAGAGATTGGAGTGAGGCCTGTCTCTCTCTTCAGATGACTTGCAGATGGACAGATTCACTGCTGTTTTCACCCCCACAGCTAGAGAGATGAGAGTTCACAGCAACTTGTTGCCAGGCAACAGAGGAGGAGGCAAATAGATACCAGGCTGAGAGTGTCCAGGTTATAGGTTATCAGATCCATAATGTAGATGAACTAAAAAAAAGCAGCGAGAGACAGGCCTGAAAGAGGCTTCCCTTCCCTCTGTGGATCTGCAAATGAGCCCTGCCAAGTGCCAAAAACTCCCCACTGCTGCACAGCCCTGTGGTCTGTTCCTTGTACTCCATCCCTTTACATTACTATCTCAGCCTTTCTCCCAAATAGCTCAGAAAAAAGGGCGGGCTAACGTTTTCCTCTGACAAGGGGCAAATGCTCTGAATGCTCTGTTTTTTCCAGCCCCCTTTTTTTTTTTTTCCCCAGTTTTTAAAGTAACAGTGAGGAGAGAGTGTATTACTAAGATAAGCTGCTGGTTGCCTTACCTTGCTCATTTCTTTATGGAAGTTCTCTTCTAGGCCTGCTATACTCTGGAATGTGTTGACATAGAAACCAACACGACTGTCAAATGAAAAAAGAGAGAGAAGAACTTAATGGACACAATGGTCTTCCAAAAACTTTCAATTCTGCCACTTCTGCTACCTCCCACCCACCAGTCCCATTCAAACTCAACTCTGTCAGGTCTGCTACATACTGGAAGAGAAGGGCAGCAGAGAAGCGTGAAGGGGGCGATGGAGCAAAGGCCAGGTATGGGACAGACATAGGATCTGAATTTGTGCTGGCTAAAGGGAGAGAGAGGTGCAGGGCAGGGGAGGAAGAAAGAAAAAAGAAGAAAAAAAAAGAGACAGTGTTAGGGTGATGGAAAGGAAAAGGACAGAGGCTGTGACACAGATGGAGTGTGGGGAGAGCTGGGGGAATTGGCAGGAGGGCACATATTAATTCACTCTGAGGTCCCTCAGCACCAGAAGAAGCAAAAAAGCATAAACTATTTGTTTCAGTGGCAGAAGAGTAAGAAAGCACAGGATAGACACAGAGAGCAACAGGAAAGCAGAAGGATCAGCTGTATAGCAGGAACCTGTGGAACAACCTGTGGTGCCTTGAAATCCCAGCAGCTGCCTGCCGCCCTCCTTCTTCTAGCCAGCCTGCCAACTGCCAACAGAGGGTGCTGTACCAGCACCCTGCTGGAGGAGCAACAGCAGGAGGGAGATGCTCTCTAAGCCCAGCAGCATCATCGTTCTGCACATGGAACCACCCAGATGCCTGCATCCCTCCCAGCTCCTTCCTCAGCCGCATACTCTCTCCATCCCCCATAGACCAACATTGCCAACCCAGACGTGATCACTGCATTTAAAAATAAGAAACTGGGTACTCCTAGGAGGATTTACCTGCTTTCCACTGTGCCCACCCCATACATCAGCTTCTGCTGCCCTCCAGTTCATCCTCCAAGCCAAATGTTGGTCTGTTTCTTTCTCCTCCCTTTTCATCACCATAATCACTGGCATGGCAAATCCATGGTCTCTCAAATATTCCTATTCTCACAACCCTTTTCCTCTGCCCAGGCTATGTTTTGTTAAATAGAGCACAACAGGACAGTTAAAACCAGTAGTTCCTCACTGGGTGCTGCGTCACACAGCCAGGCAGCACATTTAGGAGGAAGAGAAGGCAGTCACACCAGGATTCTTCCCTGGTCTTTGTTCACCCAACTGCCCAAACCTGAAAGTGGCATCCAAAGCAGAGCACCTTGCCCTCTCATCTAGTGTTAAACCTGCTGCTTCACTGGGTGCTCATAACCTTGCATGGTGAGACACAGTGAAAAGGGGATCACCTCTTGGCTCTCTCCAATCCCAGTGACTACATAAACCCCTCTGATATCTCATCTTCCCTTAATCAGTGAGCTGACATACCCACTTAGATGTTCCTTCCAGCCAGCCAGCTCCACACCCAGATTCTCAGTGGCCCTGCCTGCTCTGTCTGCTGTCCACAGCAGAAGCTGAGCCCCTGCCCAGGAAAGTTGGGCAGGGTTGGTGGGGCAAAGGGATTAATCAGACAAAGCACACAAACACAGTTTCTCTGTGGTAAAATTGAGCTTTTCATGAGGATCACGAAGCAAAGCACAGAAAGCCCAGGGTGAACCTGTCTGGGGGGAATGCTAGGACAGACTCTGCAATGATCCAGAAAACAAGAGCAGACACCCAGCCCAAGCTAAGGAGAACAGTGATACAAGAGCTTGGGTCTTTGCTTCCTTCCAACCAGCCCTTAGGAAAACTTCCAGCACTCACCTATTCCATAGTGAAGGCAGCTCCTCCTGCAGATCAACATTCATCTCTTCAAACACCTTCTGAGCCTTTACTAACTCTTCTTCAGCCTTAATAACAGAGAAGGGAGATTGTCAGCTCCTTTGCAGACAAGTACCCTGCATGGCTGGGACAACTGTGACTCTTTTCACTTCCTTAGGAGACCAGGCAAAATTCTGATAATCCCTATCCCAAATGAGTCTCCCATTAACCAGGGTTACATCACAAGTGACCTGATGCCCTTTCAGCTTGCATGTGTTACTCTCAGGTCTTCTTTCAATGGATTTCCCTGTCTGGATACTCAGAAAGTAATTTAAACGTCCACTAATGAGTTTTAAGTTCTATAAATCTCCCTGGCTTCAAAAACTGAATGGAGCTAGTCAGGCAGGATACAGATGAAGATAATAGTGGCTCCTGCCCCTTGCCAGGTCTCTGATAGTTGAAATCCATCTCAAATGGCGGTGAAGAAGAGTCCTTCCATCTGGGGACTCTCTCTGCTGGGGTCTCTCTCTGCTCGGGTAAGGTCATGCCAAAGCCCCACCTCCTCTGGGAAAGGGAGGAGAACTGCATCCTTGGCTGCATCTCTCCCAAAGCTGACTGGAGAAGCAAGGAAGGGTACGCAAAGCATGAGCTGCGCCAGCAAGAGGCCAGGCAGGAGGGCTTGAGCAGCAGATCTTGCTTTCAGCGGTCTCGCATACTCTCATTGATGAGGATCTAATGCAAGAGCAATCCCTGGCTAGCTGTTAGCAACCATCATCAAAGGAAACATGCCTTGTACAGGACCTCTTTCTCCCAGTTGAAAGTTTAAGTTTGATCTGTTCATTCGACCTAGACACTGACAGACCTCAACATTGATGCATGAATTCTGTCACGTTTCAGTGACAAAAAGGATGATCCTGGTTTCTGTTGCTGACAGCAGATACCAGCAACAAGCACATTCCTCAGCCCCTATTTTTCCTAGGCGACCTCTTCTCCTTTCAGTGCCCTGACTTACAACTCAAAGCTTGTTAATTAAAATGTTTCTATTCTGTAATTTGTAACAGCACAGCATTCTCAGCTGTGCTGTGGGACACAGGATGGAAAATGCCTACATCAGCAACTCGACAACACAACAGGTAGGTCAGCAAGTGAGTGCCTACTTATATATATGA